TTGCATGGCACAGCATTGCGGCGGATGGAGAGTCACAAGGGATCAGCTAGGTCGATAGATAGTTTCCTAGAATTCGCATTGTTTGCAGAATTTCAAAGGGCAAATTGTGAAATGTTGCAACGGCGATGGGCTTGAGATCAGGGAGCCGGGCCGCGGCGCGCGACCTTTTGGAAATAGACCATAAAACCGAAGCGTATTGGAGGTATTTGCTTTTCCTTTCAGATCGTGAAAAGCGACACTCGTAAAAGCGAACTTGCGTTCGCGCCAATCCGTAGAGACGCATTAAGTAGTGAAAAATGGGTATTTATCGAGCTCGCAAGCTTATTGCATACTTCTTTGCAAATCATCCGCCATGCTTTACGAGTGTTCGTATTATGCCCTGGCAGGGTGCTATGAAACGAAATGAACGTATGGGAGGTTGGGACTTTCCGCGAAATTCCTTGAAAATTACAGGAGGCTGTGAAATTTTCGAAAAATGAGCACTGAAGAAAAAACTCCGGCCGTAGAAGCCGTACTTATGGGCTATATAGATGCACCGTCCGTGTTCCGGGCTCGGAAACCGAAAGTTCCGGGTGCCATACCCAGAAGTTTCCGTCTCTGAGCCCCAAACGGACGGTATGTCTATGTAGCCCGTAATTTTTTTTTCAGTGAGGCGTTGGGTGCAGAAATGACATTTCTCAGTTGCGGTATTTTCGAATCTCCAGCGCTAATTCTTATTTTAGGGAGGAAACTATGAGGTGAATTTCTGAAATTTTACGTCCGCGCTGTAAAATCATATATGATTTTCAGTAAAAGTTACAACAAATTACATAAATTTGCTTTATTTACAATGGATAAAACGTCAACGGAGATTTTGAGGCAATGAAACCAAGAAATGCCCTATCTGTGCCCAGCGCTTCAAATGGACGCATTTCTGTCAAACGGAACTATGTGCATTATGACGTGAGCCCTGTTATGCATGTATTCTTATGGGTCTCAGGGCTCATGTCTTAATGCTCATAGTTCCGTTTGATAGAAATACGTCCAAATACAAAACATTCTTTTCCGAGGCACTGGGGCAGGGTGTGTAACTAGCACTCAAAATTTACTCAAGTTGCGTATCAGGTACTTCAAAAATTTAAAAAATTTGCGAGGAGGTCCCCGGATCTCCCTTCCTTGGACGTCTGGATCTTGCTAGGGCTTGTGTTGGAGAAAGAGCATCTTACACCGCGTATTTTTTCTCCCGAGGTCTCCGGTTGTCCTAACCAGAAATCGGTATCAAAACCAAAAATCGTCACCAAACCAAATATGTTAGTGTGCCATGGAGATCACTGAAAAGAAAGTATGTTGACATCTACTATAAGTCTACTTGATTTTTTACACAAAAATACTACTTAGTGAAAATAACCAGAATTATGGTAGTGTTCGCCAGAACTTTGATGATGCTTACCACAATATGGTAAATGATACCACAGAGTAAGTGCTGAGTATATGGTAAATACTGGTGTCAATTACTATACTTGTATCACTGTGTCAAAGTATGGTAAAATCTACCATAATTTTTTTTCTAGTGGACTAACCGAAAACTTCGGTATGCCACAGGAACCTTATCTGACCCTTGCGACCGAAGTTTCCTTCCCCTTGTACTTCATTTTTCTGTTTTGCTGTACGACGTATACGACCATCCGCACCAATTCGAGGAGCAGCGAAGATTTATGAGAGGGAGTTAAGTGGAAAGGCGCGGAGCTTTAACGGCAGCTCTGTTTGCATGAATACTCTCGGCTGCACTAGAAGGACGCGTCGCCGCCGCCCACAACTCAACACCGGTGCCGAAACAACGTAAAGCTATTCGCACATGAGCCCTGAGAGGCATTGAGTCACGCGGATAACAGGGCTCACCTTGAATCCCAGCTATGCACTTATTTCAGGAAAACTATCTTTTGGGCTTTCCTCCGCACGCTAATTCAAAACCGCTTGTATACATAGCGTTATCGTTGCATTTATGTTGTTACTGCTCAACATGACGGACCACACCGCGGTTAGAGCGAGTAATTAGGTGGCACCGATTAAGGTTGAGGTTCCCGCTTCCGCCCGCGTAAAAGATTTCATCCTCGCATTTCATCTTCGCTTGATCAAAGCGTCTTCAATTCGCCAACTTCGGCTTAGGTTGGAACGATGGGAACTACGTGTAATAGGCCTTTGCTCCGCAGGATGGACTACCCAATTAAGCGAAGGAAAAGAGCTTGATCTGAAGAAATATAGGGTCAATTTTGCCAGAGTATATGATAAAATGTGGATATTTACACGAATTAAATGAATGAAAGTGCCGCTTTTTTCGGAACTATCTGGCAACTATGCACAGGGGGATTCGAGGTTCAACCGCCAGACTGCACTGTTACATAGGTCAAAATAAGACTTTCTTCCTCAACGAAATTTTTCCCTGCAGTACTTTTTTAGGGGACTGCCCCCTTAGTCTGAAGGTAGAAAACCTCCCCTCACCTATAGTTAAGCTCCTCCTTCCGAAACAAATTCCTGACCATGCGCCTGCAAGTGATCCAGTAAAATTGAGTTTTCGTGAGAAACTGATGACCAACTTTTGAAATAATAGGTTTGGTTGTGAGCTAAAAGTATACTCGTAAGAACCCTTTTACTAATTTGATTTAGTTTTAATTTTTTAATTTGGAAGTTATAAAATAGCGGATCTTGTATTTTTTTTTTATGGTCATCCTCCTTCACACAAAAACAATCTAACCCGCACTGACGAGTAACTATCAAGCAAGATTTTCCGACTTTCGTCCGTTGGTTCCTTATTAAAATCGTGTCAACGTAACTGAAACTCTATGCAGTCTGAGGTTTCCAGAGGACGAACTTGAAATAAAAAATCAACAACAATTTCAGGGAAAAGTTTATGAGTGACTGCCCACGAATGGTTTTTTTTCCTCACAACTAATCGTAAGTTGCCCTTTGCAGGAAATAAAAGTTTCGATGCGTTGTGAGTGGGAGTAGTTTATCGGGAATGGAATGTCACATCAGAATGATTTGTTATCATCGCGATTTCGTATATCAAAGGGACGCATTTCTGCCAAATGGAACTATGTGCACAATAACGTGAGCTCTGATATGCATATATTCTGATGGGTCTCAGGGCTCATATCTAAATGCACATACTTCCGTTTGGCAGAAATACGACCAAAAGGGATACGCCCCCGGCACACGGCGCAAAACAGTTCGATCGCCCTACTCCTACTCGATTTGTTCTGTATTTTCAGAATAAATAACTGAGTAAAAATTAAAATAATCATAACAGGATGAAACGTCACCAAAGATTCAAACAAAGAGGCAATTCAATATTTCTAACGTTGACCCAGATTGAGCAAAGTATAGAACTAATTTGACCTACAGAAATTAGTAAATTTGACCTGATTTCATCCTGTTTAAAAATCTCTCTCTCTCCCTCTCTCCCCCTCTCTCTCCCTCCCTCTCTCCCTCCCTCTCTCATATAGGCAGCCCCAAAAACTGCTTACTTCAGAAATAAGTGATAAGCACTCTACTAAATGTTCGTTGTAAACAATTTTTAAATCACCGTCGGTTACTAAAGAATGAGTAACTGCGCACGCGCTAGAGTGTAATGTCAGTGGCAATCTAATCGTGATCTTCCGCAATCAAGTCGAAGCAATACAGTTGAAGGCGCTCCGAGCAACTATTTCACCACGGAAGTATTGCAAAGTATCAGACGAAAATGAAGGCGCACTAACGTTTGTAAATTGGCTGATATCGTGTAGCACTGTGTAGAGACTTACAAATGGACCACTAGACAGGGTACGAATCTAAGCAATCTGATACATGTTTCTTAACCAGAATTTCTCGTAGAATACGATTCGCACAACAAAAATTACTAAAACCATCTCCTAACGAAGATATTAACGTTTTTATTTCACATTGGTTACGAGGAATTTGAACTGCCCGCTCACAAGAAACTCAAAGCTCCACTTGAGTCAAATCGCGCACTACAACGGTTTCAGCAAGCCTCTCAATCGAGCAATGTTCCTTTACCACCATGTATTGTTCAAACTATAAGCAATTCGCTATAGCTGAGCCAGAGCGTCAAGATTGAGGTTGCCAGATTCTAGATCGCAGAGACTGTCATGATAATGTTGAGCACGAGCGATGTGAATCACGTAGAGCATTGAGTTTTCATGAGCGGGTGATTTGAATTCACTTATCAAGAATCATTAAATATCTTCGGAAGGAGTTGATTTCGGTAATTTTCGTTAGGCGCATCGTGTTTTACGGGACATTTTATTTGAGAAACATGTATCAGAATGCTGAAATTCGTACCTTGTCTAGTGGTCCACTTCCACTTCAAAATCGCTGAAAATACACGATTTTTATATCGATGCGATCATAATATTCATAACCGTTAGTGACTTGAGATAGGCAAAAAGCTAAGATTTTCCTTCAATTTCGCGTGATACCACATACCTACATCGGAGTTCGACTAGTTGCTCGATTGATTTCCGCTTGTGGAAAGGAGAGAAATTACGCAAGTTTCATCTTAAAATTGCGATCAATACAACGAAAATCTTCGTTGTGCGTAGCGTGTTTTGCGTGAAATTTTGGCTGAGTAACATGTATGAGCATTCTGAAATTCGTACCATGTCTAGTGGTCCATTAGAAGCGGAGATTTTGGAACACCACGACCGAGATACACATTTTTGCAGTTTCACGGTCGATGTGGAGCAGAACCATTGTTGCGTTGGCTGGATATCGACGGATCGGAACTACTGTCGTCTATCGGCGCTCGCTACCCCAAAACAGGATTTTCATCCACTTAGGCGTGTGTCGCTTGCAGCCGACCGGATGCACGAACCGCCGCATCAAAGGCGGGAATGTTCGGATCGGCAGCATGCAATAGCGCGTGAATTTATGACTTTGACCACAGCTAACAGGATTATGAATCCGCCACGGCCTAAACAGAGCGTCGCATTAATCGACCCGTTTGAATTGTGTCTGTTGCAGATGTTTCATCACCCGAGCGCCACCGGTTTGTGTTTGCTTCGCTGAACCAGTTTTAATGCCACTCATATGAGGTTCGCGCCCGAATCCTGAACCCGCCCGAAACGCTCCTGAACTTGAATACCAGTCCATTTAACTCGTCTTCATGTAAGTCACCCGCTCGATTTTACGCTTGAATGAACTGCGGTTAAACTTGGTGTGCTTGATTGGGATAGAGTGTATGATAACGCAACCTGGATCGAATTGTGGGTGAAGGTATAGGGCTGTTTTGACACATGCATTCAAAAGAAGATGAGACAAAGTTTGATCAGCAACGCATGACTAGAGTACCTGGTATGGAATGGACATTAATTTTATGGAAGCTGCAAACTTGATCAACATGTGGGTTAGAAAGTAGGACTGTTTCGTCACAGCACTCAAAAGAAGATGAGGGGCAAAGTATAATCAGCAACGCATAATGGACCACTAGACAAGGTACAAATTTTAGCATTCTGATTCATGATTCTTAACCACAATTTTACGTAGAACACGATGCGCACAACGAAAATTACCGAAATCAGTATCTTATGAAGATATTTAATGATTCTTAGTGCGTGAATACAGATCATCCGCTCATGAAAACTCGATGCTCTACGTGATCACATCGCGCGCTAAACGTTATCATGACAGTCTCTGCGATATGAAAATCTGGCAACCTCGATCTTGACGCTTTGGCTCAGATATATGGCAAATTGCTTATAGTTTGAACAACACATGGTGGAAAATGAACATTGCTCGATTGAGAAGCTTGCTGAAACCGTTGTTGTGCGCGATTTGACTTACGTAGAGCTTTGAGTTTCTTGTAAGCGAACAGTTCAAATTCCTCGTAACCAATGTGTAATAAAAACGTTAATATCTTCGTTAAGAGTTGGATTTAGTAATTTTCGTTATTTGAGCCGTGTTTTATGTGAAATTTTGGTTGAGAAACATGTGTCAGATTGCTTAAATTCGCACCTTGTCTAGTGGTCCATTAGGGTACCTAAATGAGGATGGAGGGGGCATGTAATTTTATGGATGCTAAAAAATAGCTACGATTCCTTAGTGAGAATAAGTGGAGCTGGTCAGGAGGAGTCGTTGCCAACCTTTGATGTTCATCACTTGCTGCAATTGTAACATAAATTCCACATTCTCCTCATATTATGTTCTCACTTCCTGTGCGCTTTTGTGACTAGAACGTTTACTTAACCAGTCTATATGCTCATAGCGCGCAATAGAAACTAGATTAAACAAATGAGCTCTTTCGCAACTGTGATAAACTAGTGCGAAAGTAAATCTCAAAATTCAGCCGCATGAGGTGCTCCTCCTGAAAAGTTGTTCACCCTTCGGGCAGACGGACCCGACCCGCGTGATGGTGTTCCTCTAGAGTCGGCCCAAGCAAGTTTCGTCCATTTAAATGTATGTCAGTGCTGCCGTGTGAAGGAAAAACGCCGTATGAACCTTCAGGCATTGCCAAATTTCCTCTGTCAAATTTTCAGGAAAATTTTTGAATATTTTTCTGCCAATTTCTCAGATAATTTTGGTCGTGATTTGATCAAAAGCGTCTGAACATTTCAAGGGAAAATATTCACAATTTTCCTCCAAAATAAACATTTCATTGTTGAAAATTTGGCAACTCCCGAATGTTCATACGGCGTTCTTCATCAGCACGGCAGAGTGAATGTCCAACAATCAATGAATATCATAATAGGCTGCCTCGTCTAAAATCAATTATTTATGATGAATCTTTCAGTAACAAAAACAGTGTCACCAACCTCCGACAGTCCCACTAAGTCCTCGCAATATTTTCATTTTGATTCACTCCAATTTCCGCAGCCTTATTTTCTTACGGGTCAAGCGAGTGCCTTACATCATAGCATAGCACCAATGTATTTGTTTCTCTTATCTTGTTCTCTCTTTTGAAGTAATTTATTTATCAAAGCTCATTACCTCCACGATTCTACAAATTCGTATAGATCAACCAGTATTTACAACATTTCTGTCTTTATTTTAGTATAAAATCAGCATTTGTTACAAATATTCTGTGCAGCGTGAAAATTGCATATTGTAAATCTTTGCTTTTTCCTTTAGAATTAATTTTCTAAAAAATTTTAACTATCCACCATAATTATTCTTAGAAACTGTTATGAGCCACTAAACACCAACTTAATTAACACTAAAAGAATGTATGCGCCACTTATGTGTCTAATTGTAAGAGAGAACTTACGTGTGAAACGAAAAATTTGCTTCCAAGTGCTGATTTACCCGACGCGACATTGTTTTTGGTATTTTTGTATAAACGGGAATTTTGAATGTATCAGTTGGATTGCATTTTGCAAAACGGAACCACTAGCATTGCAATGATGCTAAGATTGTGCAACTTCATCTTTTGCAATAAAATTGCGGAAATCGTGAAACACTATGTTTAGATGGTAATTTTTGTCTTAAATTTATAGTTTTTAGCGAGTAAGATAGAAACTATTAATGGACAATCGGGTTTTTCCTCCAAGACAAAAGAAGTTGCACAATCTTAGCAACATTGCAATGCTAGTGGTTCCTTTTTGCAAAATGTAATCCAGTTAATGTAACCCACAACCACTGATATCTCACTTAATGCGACCCTAAGCTTTTTAACACATTTCACATGCAATTTTAATAAAATCAATATATCTTGAACTGTTGTAGTCCTCTATCTAACGAGTGGACAATTCAATTAGAATGATCGATCTACTGGATACGACTATTCGTCCTCAGCGGTTGCCATTGTTGCATGCGTGTGAATTGAAGGCGCTCTGACTTTCTACATTCTCGCTAAGAGAATGAACCAATACAGTTGATGTCCAGATGTGCTGAGGAGAGGGGTAGCGCTTTTTGGGCAGAGATAAGAGGAGATGGTGCAGTATAGGAGGGGAACCAAATGCGTCAATAGTACGTTGGCGGACGTTTTAAGACCCATTTCGGACTCGTGGTGCATCGGAAAGGGCTTAACGTGTCGCCGTGTCAATACGCGCGGTCATTAAATTAATTTTGAAACTGAGCGACGCACAATGGATCGAGTCAATAGGAGAGGTCGGACAAAATTTGGAAACATTACAAGCTCATAACTCCGTTTTTACGAAATTTCAAGGTCATAAAAATGGTTCCATTGGTTTTCTTGTAAAATTTTCTGTAAGAATCACTCCTCAAAATTTAAAAGCTGACAAAATAAACATGAAAATTTGCAGTTTTAGTCACAAATTTTCATGTCCGACCTCTCTAATTGACTCGATCCACTGTGTGACGTATTAAACTCTGAAAGAGCGGAGCCGAGTTTTTATACGCTTAGATCCAAATTAATGGAAGCTGGCATACGCGAACATTTACACCTAATCATAACGGAATCTCAAGGAAAAGACTCGGAATTCTCGCTTTTGGACTGGTCTACATTTTGAATTAAGGAATCACTATGTCTGGCTCATACATAAAGGTACAGATCTGCATTCTGCAAGCAGGACTCTTGGTTATAGGCCATTTCGTCAACGATTTTTTGTCTCCGCACCTGTTTTTTCCAGTAGTTTACGTCCACGCGTTCTTTCGGAAGAAGAGTTTTGGTCAACTTACCACTTGAGACCCAAAGTTAATTGGTCCACGTGTAAATACAAACGACAATTGCTTTGACCTTTTTGGATGGAAGTGTTTAATGTCTTTGAAGAATGAGGGTTTGCTTGTTTTTTTGTTTTTTTTTTTGCTTGTTTGCTCCAACGGAGAAAAATATATAATTGAGATTTTTTGTAAAAATGAGGGAGCGTCATTTCCGTGAGAAAAAATTCACTAAAACTCTCTACACCTCGTTGGTGCAACAGGACTTAAATATCTTTCAAGAATATTTTCCCAAATTTGTATACCTGAACTGGAAAACTTTTTGATTTGCCTCCGCTAAAGGATCTCATATTTTTCCTGTGCATGATAACTTCGCTTCGGCACTGGTTTGCCGCAGCGCTTTGAGCTACTGCCTATTTCGCCACGGAGGTGTTGCACAGTATCATATGAGGTCGAAGACACCCCAACGTATCATGATTGATGGCATCTTTCAAAAGCACGAAGTTCTCTCGCAAAGTAAATCGAGTGACGACAACAAAAAGAGAGCGGTAGTCGAAAAACTTACTGTCCTAGTATCTGTATTTTAATAACGTTTAGTATGATTTTTAACTTCATTAGAGGAACAAGTGACCTAATTTAAGGAGAAATATCCTCAAAACCGCCGAGAAGATTTCCTTATGAGTTAATGAAGAAAATAATGTTTTCTTACAGAAGAAAAGATGCTTTTATAAAAAAGAAAGTCACTTACATCAAGCAGAAACCCGCTTTTGTTCGCCTATTTTATTCTTGATTCAAAATAAAATCTTCTTGACGGCATACTCAAGACTGTTCATTTATCTCTCTTATCTAGACTTATTTTGCAAGGAAAGCTCCGTACTCTTAAAGGATGCCTGTCATTCTTATTGTTGAAATATTGGAGTGCCCTCAATTTCGTATAATACTGTACAACACGTCTTCTGTGAAATAGTGAAGCGCCGTGGCACGTGGCACGCTGCGGCGCTTCCAGTCAGTCAGCACGGAACGCGCATTGGCGCCTACAAACCTAAGAGATACCTCAAGCATTGCGCAATGTTTGAAGTATCTGCTTAGGTTTGAAGGCGCCAGTGCGCGTTTCGTGCTGGCAGCACGTCGCATCACTCCGCTTTATGCTAGAGCCTATTAGTTAAACTCGTGGTGTCAGCGCTTTTCAACTCATGATTTTTATGTTTGCACACTCTGCACAGATTACTTTAATTTAAATTGATACAAAAAATGTGTATCTGAAAGGAATATTTAATGTGTGTTATTTTAAATATTAAGGTGTTTCCTTGTCGTATTTAATGATTTTCAAAGCACATTAATTTTTTCTTTTATATTTTGTGCTTTTACTGTGCTGCAGCGTGGTATGAGCGCAACCAAACGCTCGAAATAGGACGTATTTGACTCTGAAATATATCGATGTACAAATGGGCTAAAACCAAAAATTGCGTGCTTCTCGGTTTTTTCCCTCTTTTACACATTTGTGCATAGTTTCTTTTTACACAACTACTGGTCATTGACTTTAATATCGATGCCATCGCTTGGAAAAGGTTTTACAAACATTTGCCACGTTTTAAATATGTAAATGTTTTTAAAATAAAGTAATATTTTCATTAAAAAAAAGTATTTTTAAGGTTTATTTTTCATCGAAAATTTTGAGGATAGAAATAAAACCAAATATTCACCCATAACAATTTGAAAAGATTGACAAAAAGAAGTGAATAACATTTCATTTAAAAAATGAGTTACCACAACAACTCTTCCGTCTCTCTCAATTTTCTCATTTCATTATTGTCTATATAATTTTACATACGGACTAAAATATGACACTTGGACCAAATCACTGTTGTTTATTTCACGCGTGGACGTAAACTACTGGACAAAACAGGTGTCCGGACAAAAAATCGTTGACGGAATGCCCTGAAACCGGACAATTATGGCACATACGATATCTCTAAAATGACCTAGAAACGCCGACTTCAGCCAATCGCACCGATTGGCTAAAATGCGAAACCACGTATCTTCATCGTGGTTTTCAGAATCTCTGCTCCTATTTTAGTTTTCGAAGTGAAACCAAGTCGACTATGTAGTTTTGAATTCCGACAGAATATTCTGCTAATAGAGAGGAAAAATCAAAGAAGTTCTCAAGAAACTAAGTGGACTAGTTTACCAAAGAAAAAATTAAGTATGACCGGAAGTTTGCATTGGCGCCAACGGAGATGCGTGGTTTCGCACTTTGGCCATCGCGTACGGTTTCTTTTTGCAGGAAGCATTACAATTCGTCATTGGCTGACATAAGGGCGTAACTCCACTTTGAGATGAGCCCGGGAACTCATTGAATTATAAGGACAACAGAGCGTATCTCGAATTGTAGATACGCCCTTATGCCAGGAGGGCGACGAATTTTCGTGCACTAATCATTACTGATCAATAGAAAATAAAAAATAAAAAAAAAAAAATCCCATAAAGAGCGTTTGTCTTTTGAGCGAGTTTTGTTACAGTCAGGTATTACTGTGGGAATAACTTGTCTCAATATGTCGATCTCATTTTGGCACCTTTTTTCATGAAAAATGAAGTATCTTCCCCAACTTTTCCCGCGGACAGTCACGATCAAAGTCGACTTGGCAGCTTAGAAATCTCGATTTGTAAGACTAATCTGATCTGTTTGCCTCCGCCTTCATCCATGCAAGTGACCACCATGCCATGTTGCCAATGATCGAAAAAACCTACCTATTGCCTATTGGAAAGTATTTATCATGCGAATTTTTGCTCAAAATGTGACAACTCTCACAACTACCACAATCGTCCGCTAATCGTGTTAATCGAGCTAAGCCGTTTTCGCACGCCGAGTAAATAGTCGCCTGTAAACAGCACCCTCCCCTCCTCATCCCTCCCATGTTTACAGAAGTATCGCGGGCAGTTCATCACAGCAAATATGGGCTTACGAATCGTAAATAGGCCGGGTGTTCCCATCCCGGTTCCCTGCTCTGCGGGACTGAATTCATCCCAGGGCGAGTGCGGTTTCAGTGGATTTTTCTGACCCGCGGTGAAGCTTCAGGCGCTGCACCCGCGTCGGGCAAGATTGCCAGGTTAGGCGATAAAATGTCGATATTTTATTTGGATTGGGATGGGGAAAAGTGTTGATGTTTCAGCACTATCTGACAACATTGTTTGGTGCTCCTCCAACCTCAATCGAGAGGTCGTTTCCATAGAACGCGTGGGTTTAGCCCACAGCGAGGCGTCATTTACACATTTAGTGAATGAAGGGTACATGGGCGGAGCTCAATAGGCTTGGCCCCCACAATTTCAAACAGTCTTGCGGTCTTTTTCTTTTTCTTCTTTTTCTTCTTTTTTACTCTTTTTTTCTACCTCCCGTACGGTTCACTTGATGACGTCTCATTAGGGACCATATACAAAAATTGTCTTGCTGTATTCGTTTTTTTTAACCCCCTTTCCCCCCGTCGAGCACATGATATGCAACGTTAAACACCCTTCTTAAAAACTATGTCAGATTTGTGGGCATATGTATCGAATAGACTCTTACTGACAAAAAGTTGGCGCTCAACACTATTTCAGAATTATTTTTCGCCTTGACCTCGCTTCTTCCATCGTCAGGTACATGCCTGGTCCATCCAGAACCTAACCAGGTACCTAACGTCCTTCACGGACGGCCCAATAGGACGACTACATGTCAAATAAACTGTACTGAGGCGCACTCGTTAGGCTAAGAATGTGAATAATTACACATTCTTAGAAATTCTTTTAACTCCTTTAACTTGAGACGAACAGAAAATTTTTAGAGGACATGGGAACTTCTGTCGTCACATTTAGCATTTTACTTGTTTAATCTGTTGTTTTGCAGACGAAGGAACAAATTTTCATTCCATGGTTGCAAAATCTACTTACACAACGCTTTAATTTACACAAAAAGAATAGCGTAATATCCGTCCCAAATGCTGATTTCTTTATGATAACGATAAAAATAGGTTTATTTTTCCTTTATTTTTGACTTATCGCAGCAGTGGTAGACCTAATTGATTTAGCTTTGGCCTCAGGTCAAGATTCAAGATTACCAACCTCACTATGGTGCCGTTTGCCGTTAATTTTACTGTTACCATAAGAGCTCCATTCCCCGTCCTGGGCACCAAAATCTCCCAAGAAACACTAATCCCACTTTAATCCGGAGTATAAAAGCTTGAAGGCTGCTGTGAGTTCAAGGTTAGTTTTCACGCCTCGCATGCCGGAGGTAAACTTTAATTTCCTTTCGCTAATAGATTTTTTCGTTGTTGTGTTGGCAGTTGAAGGAAATGCACAACTTGACGGTGGCAACAGCTCTGGGACTGGTGAGCCTGCTCTGGTTACTGGCACTGGTTGCCGGCGAAACCGCGCGTCAGCTGAGCAGTTCTACCAGCCCACTAAATCAAAACCAGGTAAATTCAATTGTTTCCCTTCATCGTTTCAGCGTCTCCCAAGCGACTCCTCCCCACCCACGCTCATCCCGTATGAGCAGTAACTCCACCCTGGTGCGAGCTTCGAAGTGTGTAAGGGCACACGCTAACCATGGATCACATCCGGGTGGGGTTAATGTTTTCTTCCGCGACACGGCTGGCGTTTCTCGCCCCTCTTCGCGCCACGCACCGTAACCATCTCTTCCAATTAAGTTGAGACCCTCCTCGTCCCTGCATGCCGCGGGATATTCAATTTTGTCGGCTTCCGAGTATTGGGTCATTGTCAAACGCTTCGTCCTCTTACTGAAAAGTAGCTCTGGCATCTTCGGCTTCAAGGTAAAAAGGCCAACGTAAATCTGATCTCGCCGATAGAAAAAGTTTGGCCTTTTGGACCGCAAATCGTCACCTCCCGGCCAAAGTATATCACAAGCGCCATGCGACGTCTAAAATTTTCCGCCATTTTATCTTTTACAGAGAAATCGTTCAAGGACTCCGTACGAAATTGTCATTGCGTTTTCTATGTGCTGTCGATATAATTCAGTGAAATTTTTGAAACTGATTCAACCAACAATATCTCTGTTAAAAAGTATAACGACGGAGGAAATTTTTCGAAAAAACGTCGCATGGCGCTTGTGATACTTCGACCGTAAGGTGACGAAGTGCTGTGTTCGATATCGGCCATAATTCTCGGTTATAGGCACCGTATACTCGGTTCGTGCAACCGAGATTTCAAACCAAACATAATAATTCATATAAAAAACTCGGTTGCATGAACCGAACTTTACAGTCAATATTGAACAACGTGCTTACGGCTCATAGGACCGAACCGCTTTTCTCAGTGAGTCCTTTGAATTGAGGGTTGGGTCACGCTTCAGCAGAACATAGGTAAAGGTATAGGTATAGGTTAAAGTGTTAAACCACGTATCTCCATTGCGATGTTTCCAAATACCCGCCTCTATTTTATTTTGTCGAAGAGAAACAAGACAACTTTATAGCTTGAAATTCGTACAGGATATTCTGGTTACATAGTAGAAAAAAAATTAAGAAGATTTTTAAGAAATTCCCGTTGAGTCCTTTTCCAAAGAATAAATAAAATACTACGGGAAGTCTGCAACGTCGTAAACGGAGGTACGTGGTTTTTCACTTTGGCCATCGATATAGCATTTAAACTTCTGACCTAACGTTTTAGAGTTAGACGTTTCAACATATTTTGAAAAAAAATTAGACACGTCTTAATTATATGTTCACGTGTTTGAAGTGTTTAGTGAAATACTATTGCAATATTTTCTCGAGATTTTAAAGATACCCATTGTCAAATTATATGAAGAATTTTAAAAACCTCTGAAAAAGTTCAATCATTCAAGATTTTCTTCTAATATTTCAAACATTTGCGAAGAATTAATTTATTTTTTACTAAGTAGGCCGAACAAAATTTTTAAAAATATCAGGCAAATATGGTTAAAATTATCTTAAAATTTACGTTATTTAGAAAAAAATATATATTCAAAATGTAGCTATTTAATTCGGGCTATCTCTATGTGTCAATCCCGTTTTACGTAAAATTTTGATAAGGACATGCTCACTGTGCTGCTAAATTCCGCACCCTGTTTTGCGTCCATTGAAGAATTTAAGACCATGAATTCAAAAAATAATTTTTTGCCAATTTTTTTAAAAGCATTGTAGCAAACATAAATTATTGCTGTTTGCTTGATCTGTGCCCCACACAACCTCTCTTTTTCATCGTCATATGCCTCTCCGAAAAATTGAAATGCGTGATACAATTATATCAACTCCTGAGTAGGTCAAATTGCATACCCGTCGAATTGAAGGAAAACTCAGTTTCCCTGCAAGTCTCTGCTCATAATTTTTGAGAACCTTTTGTTAGAGCGATGAAATCCTTCATTGGAGAAGCTGGATTGGATATTTCCGTGGTAAGAGCTCAATTTTTCAATTTAAAGTATTTTAAGCTCAAGTTTTTTCTTATTTTACTCTAACACCTGGCGAGTTGACGAAGAGGGGAACATCTACCGTCGAGCGTCTATCAGAACGAACGTCCAGGACTGGAAGAAGATTGATCAGTTGTTGAAGTTTATGAAAAAAGACCTCTTTTTATGAAAGCTTTGTATCTTGAATGTTTTAATATTCGAACAGTTGGAATGTAAGATTGCGAAGCATCATCAGGTTGCCAAGACTTCGGATCCTCTTCCTCATGAGGGTATCACAGTATCACACCTGTTTGCTACCGCCCCTTAGTCCTCTCATAAAAAATTAGCTCTGGCTTTAATTTTTCATTAGAGCAAGAATCCTCATTCTTTCGCCGCTGGGTCTCCATTATTAGAGAAATACTTATTCGATGTTTTTGATGTCTTAAAACGTTTATCTAGTTCGTGGAAAAAAAGCAAACAAAATAAAACAAATTACTTTTAAAACAAATGATCCATAGAAGCTCTTTCACGTCTAAAAAACGATCCCTACAGAAATGTCGTTAATTATTTATTTTTATTCTACTGAAACAAATATGAGGATTATACATTTAAAATAACATTCTGTGATAAATTTAAAATAGAACCATTGAAAAAAATTATTGGAATCTATAGTTAGGGCGTATCAAAGTAAGAGGAGTGAAACGCGATAACCTCAAGAGAAATAAATTTTTAACTTAGTTCTGGGAATCTCACGGTAAAAAATTGCATTGCTCTGCGCATCTTCTCAAATCCCTGCAATGTCTAACTGTTAAGTATTCTGGAATAGAACTATATCCCGGAGTCCAGGTAGCGCTCAAAAACACTGAGTGATGCGAATGCAGAGCGAAATCCATTCTCCTTTCGGAGTAGCTTTATACTATTACAGAGCGGATTTCATTCTTTTGCGGAGTGTCATACACTAATTTCACTTAGCATTCTTATCTCTCGGGGTTATCGGGGGCTACATGGACTCTGGCGTCGAATTTCACTCACTTTTTAACAGTGCGCCTGATTATGTTCTATTCTCTAAATCAAATTATTCTCATTTTAGTTGCCGATAATGGGTCAGTTGCGCTGGACACAAAATCGTGTTTTGATGCTTAATGCTCGTAGATTAGCCAAAAATAACAAGATGTGTGCAAACAGCAACTCTCTACGTTCAATATTAACCGAGATACCGCTCTTTGAGAAGTCGGGTTTTTGACGTCATCCACCGCGGCAGTGAAACCCTTGGTTTCCTCCACCTCGCCTTCATCAGTTAGTGTGACGCATATTTACACTGGTTACTCAACGTGAAATTCGGATGAAAGCAAGGTGGAAGAATATTTCTTACAAAAACCTGACTTTTCAAAGGGAGGTATCTCTGTCCAAACTGCAACTTTCTACACGCAATATTAACCGCGTTATTGCCCTTTGAAAAATCGGGTTTTTGACGTCATCCACCACGGTAGTGACACCCTTTGTTTCTTCCACTTTACTTTCATCCGGGTTTCACGTTGAATAAATAGTGCTTATACACGTCACAACGATTGATGAAAGCAAGGTGGAAGAAACCAAGCAAGGGTATCTCTACAGTGGTGGATGAAATCAAAAACCCGACTTTTCAAAGGGAGATATCTCGATTAATATTGAACGTAGAAAGTTGCTGCTTGGACATATATTGTTATTTTTAGCTAAGCTCCAAGAATCAAGCATTAAAACACGATTCTGTGACCAGAAATATATTGTTATTTTTAGCTAAGCTCCAAGAATCAAGCATTAAAACACGATTCTTTGACCAGCTCGACTGACCCATTTCCGATCATGGCAATACTCCCAAAGGGCGTGTAACTACCGAGAAAAGGGCATTCCCTTGAATATCTTCACTACACAACGTACAGCATCTTGAGGCACTTAACCTTATCATCATGAACCGTCGAAAATATCAATTGAGTGCAGTCAACTGCGCTTTTCGCACTCGGGCTGTAAATCACCGCTACCGCTCCCCAATCCGCCACCAACACCCTGCCAAACTCAAATGCAAATCATGAGTATTTAAATAACTATTAAGACCGCGACCGAATTGAAAACATGCAAAACACGTGTCATTAACATGATTCGCTCGCTCCAGTGCCGCCAACGTAGCCTCGTTGGCGGGAAATTCGAAACCGACCCGAACGAGGGTGTGAATATTCACCGTAAGGTTGGCAGCGCGGCAAGCTCTTCACGTCTTGGCGACTCACAAGGCGGAAACTTTTGAATAATAATCAGATTAAACTCGTCCGAGAAGTGAGCAACGCGTCGTGCGGGGAGGGGTGGGATTAGGGTGGGGCGGGGGGGGGGAGGGCGAGGGCGACGGATGCGAGTAAATAGGGATGAAAATGTTGACTCAATCTCTTCATTGTCAGGTGTTGGCTCCGCGGCAGTTGTTGACGCCGCCGTTCGAATGATTAGCTGCTCTTTGAGCGAATTTCCTCCCCGAATTCCCCGAGTTGGTTCCCCGCTTTATCCCGAACTCTGGGCCGATATTCAATGCTAATGAGATGAGGGTTTGCCGCTATATTTTTCGCGGAGGAAACGCATTGCAAAATTCGAATGAGCTATGAAAATGATATATTTGGACGTATTTCTGCCGAACGGAACCATGTGCATCACGACATGAGCCCTGAGACCCATGAGAATATATGCATAACAGGGCTCACGTCATAATGCACATAGTTCCGTTTGGCAGAAATGCGTCCATTTGACCAAAATCAAATCAAAAAGCCGAATTTTCTTTCTTATTTTATTGCTTTTAGCAATAACCAAAGGCGCGGCGTGAATGATCGATTATCGATATTTCTCCATTTGAAGCTGCGGTAAAAAATCGATTTATAAGGTGTTCGCTGTGATCACCCTGTTCATCGATCCTTTTGCATAGGTTTTAATGGTAGATCAATCGACGTATCATAAAGCACGCCACGCAGTGCCACTGGAAGGAATGATGCGAGATATTCTCTGCAAATTTTCCATGTGATGTAAGAAAAATGTCACAAAATT